AAGGCCACGGAGATAACAAGGAATGACACATACATCATAAACCTAACGAATCTGTGTGAATACACGCTTGCCTAAGCAGTTTCAAAAGGGAAGCTAAAATACAGTCCAAGATCTTGGAACATCCAAGCAACGTTGTCAGCCAGGCCAATGGTCAGCGTTTCCGGGTTTCCAAGCAGAAGTCACAGAATAAGAGATCAGCAACAACACACACAAAACTCCAAGGAATCAGCATTTGTTCCCGACAAATGCCTCTCCCCACAGCGTCTTCTTAAATCTCAGTCTCCAGGTGTGTCTTGTGGAGAGGCGGGATACTCCCCTCCCGAGTAGTTGAGCCTGCCTGCGCTGTTCCCTCCTTTTCTCCACTCTCTGTGCTCTAGGATCAGGTAGGGGTGGCCCTTGCTCATTGCCTGAACTCTGTCTCTTCTGTTCCTCCTATCCCACTCCTGAAGTCCTCTGAAACTACAGAGGACAGCCCCCACAGTCCTCTGAAACCATAAACACCTCTCCCTTGACCTCCATAGGGTCCTGTTCCAGCTCATTTTCCTCCGCAGACTCAGACTCCGACGATGGCATGACAGGAATAAAACCTGCTGCATCACCTCTTGTCATATAGATTGTAATATAATAGCTGGGATAAAATATTTAATCACTTCTTCCATTCTGCTATTTAAATTATCACCCAAGTTCATTTTCAATCTGATCACTGAACAGAAGTAGTCCTATTAATTGGCTTCCCATAGCATATATTCTTAAATCTCTTGGGAAATTTGTAGTTAATTGCTTCTAATATCCTACTTCCAAAGTCAGAGGAACATATTCTGTTTATAAAGACATTCTAGGTCTTGAGACCTAGAAATTCAATCTTAATCTCTTACATTATGCAGCTGTTTATCTTATAATCATGTAGACTGATGGGCTTGACCTACCCCTTCCTTCCAAATTTAACTAGTTACCTTTCTTTCTTATTGATAGGCCCAGTATCTAGTTTACTGGTTTATCATTCACATTTTACAAACAGATTATCTGTCATTGTTTTAACAGGACATTCCAAGATACTTAAAAGCATGGAGCGTTAAAGAAGATAGTGCAGTGCACTTTGCTTAACAACTATGTTGCTGTACATAGTTGTCATACCTTAGATCAAACAAATCTCTAATGAAAAACTGCCTTGGCACTATATTCTAATTTGGAATTAGTTCAGCCTAATATGAAAAAATATAAGAAGAGAAATCAGGAGGAGAATAGATTGAAAAGATTTGCTGGATAGCAGGTGACGACTTTGATGAGATATATTGTATTTGTTTAAATGTGCATAGGCAAATGTACACATAGTTAATTCACACAAAGTGCATACTAGTGGGAATTAAGTTCTTTATTTAGATAATGGCACCCTTCAACCTATCTTTGAAAAACCAACAAATATTTGATGCCCCGAAAAGCAAATATGTGTCAACAGTTTAAGAAAACTGTTTTCTTAAACCTGTTTTCAATTAGATTCCTGTGAATAGTTTTAGTGTTAAACCACAAATCCAGTCTCCCTAAGAAGAAAGACCTAACTTGCTCCAAACCACAGATAGCTCATAAAGCAATCCATGTAACAAAATCTCCCCCACCTCCCAATTAATTCAAAATGATCTATAAAAGATCCACATAAATAAAATCTACATTGTACCTTCATTTCTCTCATTAAAAGGCAGATACACACCTGCTAATGCAAGTCAAAGGTTTAAATATATGAGTGCAAGTTAAAAGTTTAAAGCAACTTACCTTTGACTGATGCGGAATATGTGGAAATGATGCATGGGAAAAGCACAGTAAGAAGAACCATAGCTGGCTCACATAAGCTACAAATTATCATATTGGAAATAACGTAAGGCAATTGTGAAGTGAACTGTTCTGATTGAAATGAAATCTACAAAGAAGTCTTCTATCTGCCACAATGGTGTTTATCTAGATGTAGTAAGAGTCAGATTCCAAATTCCACACTTGGGTACTAAGTTCATTAAAGGTCTTTCTAGTTAATTATTGAAAACGGAGGTAATTTGTGTTTAAATATTTTATTCTTTTCTTAAGCTTTCATTACTTCATGCTAAAAGACGTACTAATATTAGCCAGTGTATTACATATACATTTGCCCAACTCTCTTTAAACTTCATAAATGCAATGGGAATTATTGCAGAAGACATATGACTGATAAATGTCATGAAAAATTACTCTTTTAAATCTTTGCACTATGTCTTTAAGAACTTTCAAAACATACTTTGTCCTTCCTATGTTTTTGCCCTAAATGTTTTTATTATGCCTCTCCCTTACTTCTAATTTTTAAGAGAAAACAGATGCTTTGAAAAACTGTTTTCACCTGTTTGCAGCTTTCCTGGAACCAAATTATAGTCAGACTACAATCTCTGTTTAATTCTAATAACTGCACAGAGTTGCTATGAGTCAGAAAGCTTAAGCATTTTATCATTGTGATTGATCACATAAGCAGCCAGATGTTTAGACTGGATTGGCATTTTTATCCACCTATCAAGTCTTTCCCAAGGACCTTGGATAGGCAGATGTTATTTGGTGGTGTTAAAAGTTTTCCAGCAGGATGTAAGCTGTTCCAAGTAAAATCGCCTTATTATTTGTTCACAATAATGTGAAGTCACAGCTGCCAATTTTTTAGATGGTGTTGGCACTGAGTTCTTCCCAAGAATTTAGGATTACAGGTAGTCCTTGACTTACGATCACATTTGAGCCCTAAATTTCTATTGCTCAGCAAGACGGTTGTTAAGTGAGTTTTGCCCCATTTTACAACCTTTCTTGCCACAATTGTTAAGTGAATCACTGCAATTGTTAAGTTACTAAAGTGAATCTGGCCTCCCCAGTGATTTTGCTTGCAGAAGTTTGCAAAAATGACCCCAGGACAATGCAACTGTCATAAATATGAATAAGTTGCCAAGAATCTTAATTTTAATCACATGATCATGGGGATGCTGCAATGATCTTAAGTATGAAAAACATGTATAAGTCACTTTTGTAACTCTGATCATTAAACAAATGGTTGCAAGTCAAGGACTAGCTGTATTATGGTTCATCGCAGTCAGCCAGATGTTCAGACTGGCTCTGACATTTTTATCCACCATCCATTTTTATTGAGTCCTTCCCAAGGACCTGGGATAGGCAGCTGTTGATGTATTATGATGTTAGGGGTATTGTCACCTAATTTAAGCTGTTCCAAGTAAAGCTGCCTGCTGAAGTTGAAAAGCCTCTGGTCTGATCCAGCATTACTCAAGCCAAACCCCTTTCTCGTCCACAATCATCTATTCCACATTGATTAAATAGAGAGAAGAAAATTCAAAATATGATATAGGGGGTAGCAGGGCTTTTTTTGTCATAGAACTCCCAGAATGGAATTCCGGCACTTTTTTTGGATGGAACCTTGTAGGGTAGGCAAGATGGATTGTATGACATCTGTGAGTTCCGGCACCTTTTTTTTTTTTTTTTTTTTACAAAAAAAGCACTGGGGGTGGGGGTGGGGAAATGGTTTTCTCCATTCTATTGTTTCCAATAACTCATATCCAAAGGCATAACAAATGCCATTTTTAGATTTTCTAGGACACATCTAATTTAGTTCTGAGTTGAAGATATTGCTCCAATGGTAAATTAGAATGCATTATTCCAGGGAACATCAAAGTGCCTTTTGAGAACAGACAGATTTCTATTTCCAGGATTGCTATTCATACAAATGGTACTGTTCTCTTTGATCTAAACGAACATTTCTTTTCAATACACTTCATTTTAGTCTTGCTGGCCAGCATTCCAGGGTTAAAGTCCTATTGCCATCATAAATTTCCAGAGTTCAAGCCATAAAAGTCTTTCCATTATCATGTAATGAAGATAATTATGGTTTCTTTGACCAAACTGATTAAAAAAAAAAAAGTCTTATTCTGCTTTTCTCACAAGCCTCATTTGAATGCTTAGTAGGGGAAATGTCATTTATAAACTCGTCCCGTATGTACTACCACCAATACAAAACAATTTGGCAATTACTTTCCAGCCGAGCAAGAAAAAGCTAGTGCAGAAGAGAAAATCTCTATGCATTACACTAATGTGTGGAGGTAATTTTTTTGTCAGGAACATATCACTATGGACATGCAAACTGGCATAGACCTTTTCAAATATACACTTACACATTTCTCTTCTTTGCCCTTTTGCTTCTGTCCCAGTGACCCTCTGCCAACCAGTGCTGTCAGTTGGCAGAAACCCAAGTTAATTTCCTACTATAAATAGCATTATCATTCTCATCAGTCACCCACTAAAAGTCACAGCTCCACAGATCACATTTTTTTGGAACTGAGGCCTCTGCATAGCCACAGGCCACTGATTAATCTAATTTAAGATGCATCCCTTTGATTGCAATGATCAGTAAACTGTCATTTTCCACTTGTAGTAATCTGGCAATTTCAATTTATCTTTTTACAATAATATATGTATCAATCCCCAAAGATCCAATGATAAAAAAAGTGATATGTCATGCTGAGTTCTGCAAGAAACTTATCCATATATCAGCTCGCTATGTAGCAATATTTTCTATGAAGGTATACTCTATATTAATTTTCGTTTTCTATCTGCTTCTGCAACCTATGAAGCTACTCTTCATTGAAAATACTTGAATGGGAAAGATATCTTGTGTAACGTAGACTAGCTAATAAAACATTAAAGTGCAGATTCAAAAGCCAGCGGGCACTTCTGAAATCCGCTGAACTATTTATTGTCCATTAGTGTCTGATCAAAGGCACGTGAACTAAATCACATTTGGATTATTGAATCAGATGCTAAATACTTCTTCAGCTCCCGCGGACAAACGTTTGTAGGCCAATACATTTGAAAGGCACTATGGTCTTTTAAAAAAAATAAAAATGATTTAACAGCCTCTCAAAAGACAAAATTCAGTATTATAAACGCAAGTCGGGGAGGAGTTTTTTCACTACAACCCCGCCTACTAAGTCACGAGACTGAGATATTGCGTCATTAGTCCGCGTCGAGTGGTGCCACTGCGGTCTTGGGCGTCAGCGGCGCGTGCAGAGGGAAGGGCTAGGCCGGGTTGCTGGTCTTTCGGCGGTGGCCGTTGCTCCTGGTTCGTGCGCTGGGGTGCGAGGTAAGCGAGCGAGCGCGAGCCCTTCCTTCTAGTTTGGTGGGCGGGAAGTCACGTTTCTCCTCAGTCTTCCTGCCCAACGGTTTCACCAGTCGAGCCCGATTTTGCCCAGCATAGCGCTAGCTGGCAGCCATGTTGGCGGGGGCACGACGGGAGTTGTAGTCCAGCCCTGGCTCTCGGCTCCTCCCTGAGGCGACTCAAGGCCGGTCCGTTTCGGGCCAAGTCCTTTAGAAATGCTTTGAGCCTCTTACGAATGACCTAAAAGAAGGGAAAAGCCACTCGAGTTAATTGCGGCGCAAAATAAGCGCCTTCTGGCACCACGGAAATGGGCCCTTCTGTGGTGTGACGAGGCTCTCTGGCGCAAAATGTGCGCGCTCAGGTCCGAGAAAGCTTGAACTGAACGGAGCGAAAGTAATCTATGCTTCCCCAAGGAAACGGCTCCAATATGTGAGAATTAGAAGACCCAGGCTTCCTAGTAAAAAAAAAAAAAAAAGGATAAAATTGTGAGCTTCTTTAGGCTGCTCTTGCTTTTGTTAAAATGACATAAGTAGTATTTTACTACAGGTCTCTCCCTGTCCCCCTCCCTCACGCAGAAGGGTGGAGCTTGGTGCTTCTTAGACCTACAAGTTTGATTCCAAGACACTGCTGGAAAAAAAGTGCAAGTCATGGTTTCTTGCAATTTAAATTGTTTCAAGAAAATAGAATAAACTATATGGATGTTTTACATTGTATTGTTGCCAGTTTGGTGCAAAGCATTTGAAAGAGGTTCTTTGCAGAATGCAGCACAGGCTTGCATAACCTCTTTGAAAGCTGCCCCTGGTTGTCTACATGCTTGTGTGGCCATCAAGGAGAGGTAATTCTTTTGTGCTTTTGAATGCTGCCAAGTACCTTTTTCTAAGGCTTGTACATATTTTTATTTTTTTTAGATTTGGGGATATTTTTCATTTCATTGACTTTCATAAAACTTCAAGGCTTTTGAATTTAGCAGCCTTATGAATTCTCCACGATTATTTTCTTTACTGATATTTAAATCAAATGGATTGCTGATCCCTCTAGTAAATGTAATAAAATGTGGACATAATCCAGATAATTTTTAAACTGAAAATAATACAATGGCTATTATATGGTTGCAAAATAGAATGTATGATAATATAAGGTAACTGATATCTGTGAATGTTCTCTTTTATTACAGTTTCTCTCCCTCACCTCCCAATATTGTACCAGCTTTGGGCCATCTATTTCAATCACAAATGTCTTGAATTTGTACTATTGTTGATTGGCATTTTATGTGTTTGTGTATGCATTTTAGTACAAATAATGAAATGATTTTTTTCATCATAATTTGTATGATAGGCAGAGAATGCTTTATATTCAACTGTCTTAGGCAAGAGCTTTAAATATATATATTCTGTTTGGATTAAGTTTTCTAATAATCAATTTTTATTTTTTTTTTGAAGCTCATGTCTTCAGGAATGCCACCAGAAAACTTTAAAACACCCAGTGGTACTGATACAGAGGAGAAGGTGAAGTGCAATGTTGATAAGGTAGACATTAAAGAATTGCCACTGGAAAAGATGGAGAATATTGAAACTATGTCAAAAAGACAAAGAAAGAAGCTAATAAAGCAGAAACAATGGGAAGAACAAAGAGCCTTGCGCAAGTACGGTTTGTTTCTTATGAAAGGATTTTGTGATTAAGCACTTCTGAGCGGATTTGTTTTATTGCTACCCAGTTTCTTCCATGAAAAAGTTCAGAACTAAGCCTGAGGATTATATGAGCTCATCCTTTTCTGTTTCCTTTATACTGGAGAGGACTGAACAAATGTGTAATCTCTCCCCTCCTGCGTGATGAAAGACTTCTAGAAAACTCTTATAACCTATCTGATTTCACACTGTATAAATGGTATCTTATTGGACAAATGAAATAATAGGTTATATATACAGTAAATATCTAAACATCTTTTTGTTTTCTTCTGGCCTTCCTTTCCACATTTCAAATATACTTTTTATCTTCATGACTTGTTATTCATTATCCTTTAAACATGTATTCTGCTTGAGTATTATATGCCAGCATCCAACATTTAAAAGTACATGCCTTAGCAGATAACCAACAGTTATCTCTTATCTTTAAAACAATATGGAAGAATATAATAACCTATATTGTGCCACTGAATAATATAGTGATGTTTTTGTTTCCAACATTTCAGGCAAAAGCGTAAAGAAAAACGCTTGAAGAGAAAAACGGAGCGCCAATCTCAGCTGGAATCAAACAGTGAAGGAAATGTCAGGAAACGTATGCGTAGGGATATTGTTCCTAGTGCACTTCGGATTATAATAGACTGCAGTTTTGACAATTTAATGGAGTTAAAGGTAAATAGAAATAATATTTAATAAGTTTCTTAATGGATTGATTCAGGAGTCTTCAAACTTGGCCCTTTTATGACTTGTGGACTTCAACTCCCAGAATTCCTCAGCCAGCATGCCTGGCTGAGGAATTTTGGGAGTTGAAGTCCACAAGTCATAAAAGGGCCAGGTTTGAAGACCCCTGGATTGATTGAAAGATTATGTCATCAAGTCATTGTCAACTTGTTGCAATCATGTAGATTTTGTAATTCTCTAGATTCCCAAGATATAGGTAACCTTCAGTTATCAATGACTCATTCAGTGACTGTTTGGAGTTACAATGACATTTTAAGATAGCAGGGAAGCTTGTAAATTGTTCCCACCATTTTTTTTCCTGAGTAACTCTGCTACAGAACTCATATTCTTTAGTGTGAAGTCAGGCCTCAACCCCCCCCCCCCTTCACCCAACCACACTTGTGCCTTGCACCATCTCCTCTCTCCAGCTCACACACATCTGTGCTTTGCATCATCAACCTCTCCCCAGCCCCCATACACTCGCACCTTGCAACAGCACATCCTTCCCACCTTGCATGCAGTCACAGCAGCTCTCTTCCTCAACCTACGTGCACTCGTGTCTTGCTACAGCAGCCTGTCCCAAGCCCATGTACTCTCATGCCTCATAGAAGCATCCTATCCCCAGCTGGCTTGCACTTCGCAGCAACACCCCATGCCATAAGCACTTATTTCAGTACCCTTCCACCTTGCCTCTCTCTAATATTTACCCCGCACAAGCCACTGAGGACTTGAGACTTTTTGCCAGCTTCTTCATTGACTTTGGGAGAGGCTCGCACAGTCTCACGTTGTAGTCGTGAGGTTCTCATTTAATGATTCATGACCCTTATAACAATGGTAGCAACAACTGTTAGGATTGCTGTCACTAAGAGATGAAGTCATGTGATATTGCACTTTGCGACTACATTGCTTAGCAATGGAAATTAATATCTGAACTGAATTTATTCAAAAGATTTTTTGGAAAATGTTGAGACTTGAGAAATTAATGTAGAATTAATGAAGGACCGAAGAAGTAAGATTTAACCTAGTACAAAAATATGGTACATTTTTGTGTGTATGCCTTTGAGTCAGCATCGACTTGTCACAACTGCCTGGACTAGTCCCTGCAGTTTGCCTTAAGAAGATTTTTGGAAATAGATTGCCCTTGCCCAATTAGAACCCACGATCTTCTGCTTTCTAGCCTGATGCCTTAATCATGTCTCCAGACTGACCCTCATAGGTTAGCCTTACTTGACAAACATTACCAATATTCCCAATAGGTTTAGAAAAATTGGTGTCACGCTTTTGTAAATTGCTTGTATAATTTAATTTTAGGAAAATTATTTGTCATTTTTAATTGCATAATTTTATTACATTTTACTAATATTTTACTAATAAGTAGAATTTAAAATAAGACAAGTCCCAGAAGCTCATGTACACAGCATTGCTGCCCAGATATTATCTTTAATCAGATTGTTAGCATCATCTGGATTATTTTTAGAGTGATGAGCTAGTAATAAGTGAGAGCTCAGAAAACCTCTATACTTTTAGCATGCTTTCTTCAGGTACATGTTTTAGAAGTAATTTCTGTTGGTTAAAAGCTTCCTTTCTTTCTCTTTAGCGTCTCTCTGAATCTCTTGGTTAAAGCATTTTGTGGTGCTTTCTCTGAAGGACAGTATAAAAACAAATTGTATTGTATACAGGATGTCAAGAAACTTCACAAGCAAATTCAGAGGTGTTATGCAGAAAATCGTAAAGCACTTCATCCTGTTCAGGTATGTCAATCCAAGTAATCTCCTTCTTTGATGACTTTCTGAGTGTTATGCAATATATATGAAAGATGATTTTTAAACATAACATAATGCTTATTATACTTGCATTTTAGCATATACAAAAATAATTTAAAGATTTTTAGATATTGGTCTAGAAATGTGACAATACTAATGTCCAAATGTGTCTAAATATAGTTGTCATACCTATACTGAGTTTACGCATGCTATAGATCAGTGGTTCTCAACCTTTTTAATGCCGTGACCCCCAACCGGTCGTAAGTCGAGGACTGCTCAACCGGTCATAAGTCAAGGACTACTCAACTGATGCAGCACCGTTTGCAGAATGGGACTTTTGGCGGGCTCAGCAGGGCAGAGACAGCTTGGACGATTCCTATTGGCTTTTGAAAGCCAATAGAATTAGACTCTATTCAAGAGAGTCTATTCTATTAGCTTTCAAAAACCAATAGAATAAAAGGGAGTAGCACAGCTAAGGAAAAGGGGAAAAAAATGGCGGACTGCGTTGTTTGGCGACCCCCGTGAAATGGTCGTTTGACCCCAAATGGGGTCCCAACCCACAGGTTGAGAACCACTGCTATAGAAAATTTAAAGTACTGATTGCCATGTATTTTTTTCTGCTACAAAATATCCTGGGTAACAATGCACACATAGAAAAGGAGTTCGAAATGGTAAGGAAAAGAGGTTAATGCCTGGAGATAAGAAAAAGAATATAAAGTGTGCCTAAAGGTAGTTTACGGCAATCCATTCAATATATCTCTACTATCTTTCTACTGCTTGCAAGTTATTCTTGCAAACTATCCACCACCTCCTTACACCAACTCAAACATTGGCTTTTGTTCTTTAAACATCTCTCTGAGGTCCTTGTCAGCTGCATCCTGCTACCACTTTGTCTTCTTTCAGGCTATTCATTCTTCCTTCATATATTTGTTTTGAGATTCCATCTTTATTCATTCTCTCTTTATGACAAAACTTCTTCATGTATACACTAAACCAGGCTAACACCATATTTAATCACTGCATAAACTTTAATATAAACATAACTGTGCAGTAAGGCACAGACCATATAGGCACATAAATGACATAACACCTCATACAGACATTGCAGATTTCATGGAAAGAGCATTCCGTTGAGAAACTTGGGATTTTTTTCATAAGTTACATCTGATAACTTGTTTTGCATATGAGATTAGTGAATGCAATGATAGTTATAAAAACTTTATAAACTAATTATTGGTAGGGATGTGCTATGGCAAAATCCATAATCTGTTGTCATAAAATTGCATGTATGCTGCCATGTTTCACAGAAAATAAGTCATAGCCTGATTTTTTTAGCATGTTCCTAATATAAGCCCTATCCCAAAAATAAGCCTGGGGGAGTTCGGTCTGGCCAGCACGCGTGGACCAATGGTGTCCAGCAGCAGCTGCAGCCTGCGCAGCACAGGTAAGTCCAAGTGTGGAGGTGGGGAGGTAGGTGATCTGAACACGCCGTGCGGCAACCTGGCTCACAGAAGGCTCACGTGCCAGCAGCAGGCAGAGGCACAGGAGAGGCAGATAATCCTGACATGCTGCCCTTTCTGTCCCACCGTCTCTTGGGTTGCCCACGGCCGCGCAGCACATCCAGATCACTTGCCTCTCCCCTCACGCATCTACCTCTGCCTACTGCTTGGACAGATAATCAACTCATCTGCACTGCACAGGCTGTGCAGCTGCAGAGTGCACTGGCCAAGGGGTTGGCAGGCTGCCGGACACCATCGGCCCCTGCGTGCTTGTCACCTCTTGTGCGTGCACCGGGGAAACACCTGGCCGGGCTGATCACCCTGATACTGTGTTTCCCTGAAAATAAGCCATGATGCGTCTTTTGGAGCCCAAAAAAATAATAAGACCAGTCTTATTTTAGATAAACACAGTAAGTTTAACAGAGTAATAAAGTTTAATGAAGTTTGTACTATTTGCACTGGCTTTCAGCTCCTCTTTCTTGGGGATCCCTTACAGATATAGCATGTTTACTATAACATCATTTCTCTTTTCCCTGTTGACCAAATGTTTGTATGGTTCCATGATTTTTATTTCATCTATAGTATATCTAACTTTTACCACACATATTTGGGGTCTTTATGTAACACCACAGAATCACCTAAAGTGTGTACAAAAAAATCCTTCTGAACTTCCAAGTCTAAGTTATTATCCTGTTTGAGGTGAACTAAAATGTGTAAAATGTGAAATGGTGGAAAAGAGTATTTGTTGTATAATCTTAAAAATTATCAATGAATGTTGCATGCATTTTTATTTTCCAGTTTTACTTGACCAGTCATGGAGGCCAGCTGAAGGACAACATGAATGAAACAGACAAGGGATGGATAAATTGGAAGGTGCTAGCAATTTTAAGTATATAATTTTTAATTGTTTACATTTAAAAAAAATTGAGGGTGAAAGTTTGTTCTCTGAGCTTGTGTGTTTTTGGAAAACAGACCTTCACCTTCGTCCTATACCCGAGCTATAGATATTCGCCCAAAAAAATTTGAATCAATTTCTTAGAAATGCATGAATTTGACAGGAGTTATCTCAACATTATCCATTGTCAGATTGCTGTACTATGAACTTTGCCTTCAGTGAAATGAAACTACAGATACAGGTAGTCCTCGATTTACAACAGTTCACTTAGTGAACATTTGAAGTTATAACGGCACTGAAAATAGTTACTTATGACTGTTCTTCACATTTACGACCAATTCAGCATCCCTATGATCATCTGATCAAAATTCAAACGCTTAGCAACCGGCAGGTATTTATGAGCTTGCTGTGTCCCAAAGTCACATCATCACCTTTTGAGACTTTCTGACAGACAGAGTCAATGCGGAAATTGGATTCGTTTAACAACCATGTTACTAACTCAATAACTGCAGTGATTCACAACAATGGTGGCTGGAAAGGTCATAAAATGGAGCAAAAAGTACTTGTTGCTTAGCAACAGAAATTTTGGGCTTAAGTATGGTCATGAGTCAAGGATTGCCTATATTTTGTGATCACTGAGTGACTTACAAATAAGTGCCTTCTTCATTTTAGCTATAATCTTTCCAATATACTATATATAGTATAGATATTCCTTCGAAATAAATGATAATGCTGTAATACTGTTTCATTGCATTGTTAATCCTTTACTGATAGTTACATACAATACTCCTAGTGCAGGCATAGAATATATATACTCAAGATAGTAAAAAAATTAGTTTTAAAATAATTTACATTTGGACTTGTGTTTGTGTCTTGAAGGATATTCATATTAAATCAGCTCATTATAATGAATTGGTGAAAAAGGAAGATCTTGTTTACCTTACCTCAGATTCTCCAGATGTCTTGAATGAATTAGATGAATCAAAAGCCTATGTAATTGGAGGCTTGGTTGATCACAATCATCACAAGGTAGATGACTAATTATAATGTTGTGCATGCATATTTTAAAAAAATCTTAATGAACTAAAAATTAATGAAAAAAGAAATGGGATTTTTATTAATGTAGTTTTATGTTCAGTTTGGAGAATTTGTGACTTCCCGCATGTTGATTTACAGCTTACAACATCCCTCAGTACTGATCATGGTGAGAGTCATTGGGATGTACAGTATTTTTCTATACTTACACCCTGCACCATAGTTAGGGTACAGCAAAGTCAAAGGTAAAAATCAAAAACAAACATAATTGGATAAATTGGACTTTTATGTTATATGTTGGACAGCTGTCAATAAATCTCATAGGTGTTTTTGGAACTGATCTAAGGGCTCACCATCATTAGGATTAAACTAATTTATTCACATTATGCCAGCAGAGTCAGGGCCATTAGCTTCTGGGGAAGAATAAACTGAAGGTTACCGTCGAGGAGGCCTGTTGTCTTGAATATGTCCCATGCACACCTAATAAGCTGTAGGCCTTCTCTTGATTAGTGCAAAATAGATGGACTCAATTCTGTTACATGCTTGATATATCCTGGAGCAGCATTATAAAGAGCTTTAAAAGCACTTTGAATTGGGCCTGAAAACCTCCTAATAACCAGTATGAGTTCAAAATGGATGTTATCCAAACCTGTTAGGAGCCACTACATTATATGCTAGCTATAGTTTCTCGATAGCTTTCAAAGACAATCTCAAGTTGTGCATTGCAATAGACCGACCAAATCAGAGTATGGGTTGCTATCATCAAGGGCTGGATGGAGGCTTTCTGGCCATAGTTTCCTCCTATTTATCCTAAAGCTAAAGCCTGAAGTCACAGTAAACTCAGCCTGAACTTCTGAATGATCTCTAGTGTTTCATGCACCTTTAAGTAATATGGAGGAGTCTGCTGAGCCCTGAGCCATCTGCACTCCAAGATCAGCAGGAACTAAGTAAGAGGCTCCATCCCATCCCATATGTAAATGAAAATTCTGTAGATACTGTCACACTACAAATCGAGTCTTTATTATGGTCACAGGATAGCATATTGTCACAATACATCTATGCTCTGTAACAGATACAGCATACCAGCAGTGTACTTGTGCGGTTAGTGTTTCATCCAGCGCATATTCTGTTATTTTAATCATGTTTATTGTATTGCTAGCATTAAAAATAAATGCAAAAGGAATTTAGTGTCTAATAAAAGTGTCTAATAAAACTGTGTATAGCATTCATAGACATAAGTTTACAGGAAAATCTGCAGAACTGCAGAACAGAAATACAGCAAGGTATTGAATGGTTGGTATGTTTATTATCATTTGTCATCATCTTACTATTTCTTTAAAAAGCTAGTATAATTTTTACGGGTTTCTGATCATATGCCTTCAAGTCACAGTCTAGGGATTACATTTCTTTAGCTTCCACCAGCTGTTATTTGTTAATTTGGATAGTTTTGGGACATTATTGAAAATGTGAGTCTAATATGACAGCATAAGGTGGATTTGATAAACACAATAAATTTGTGCACAATTTAAGAAATAAGCACCTATTTTAATTAATCCTTTGAGCTGTTTCTCTCCATATCAGCTCCGATAACTGGTTCAGTTCATAGAAACTGTTTACTTGGTTAATACATAATCAGTTAATTGGTTGTCTTTGTATATAAGACATGAAAATAAAAGTGGTTTCTCAGCATTTTAGATTATAGATAATAGATTAATAATTGATATCTTTTATAAACCAGTGGTCTATAATATGAAACATATTTAAATCATGCTAGAAGGCTGTGTGATGCATATATTTTACTATACAAACATAAAATCAGTTCCGTGCAAATAATCTCAGGCAATGTAATTTAATAACAAAAGGTCATTTTCTTTATTTTGCCTATAGGGAATTACATACAAAAGAGCAAAAGAACAAGGTATAAGCCATGCACAGCTCCCCCTAGGAAACTTTGTGAAAATGAACAGCAGGAAAGTTCTGGCAGTCAATCATGGTAAGAATAATATTTTCCTAGTTGCTACATCTTATTGTTTAGTGTAACTGTTAGTAAATAATTCAAATCCCAGTAAAGATAATTGAGATGAGGAAGCTGCAGAAGTAATGTTCAACCAGAAATAAAAGCAGTACAATATAGCGGAGGAAAGTTTTGTTGCTACAGATATTCCACTGTCAAAGTAGAAATCAGGAAAATGCTTGGGTATACATGAAGCAGTTATCTTATTTTTATTTACATACTCACAGAAATAGTTCAGTGGAAGGGGTTCCACCCTGCCCTCAGCTATCCATTAGCTATTAGCTTATTGCAAATAGATTTCCAGGGTAACCTTTTTTCTGAATTTCCGTAATGCACAAGCTACAAGTGCAGTTAGATATTAAAAAACGAAATTGATTTTGCTGAATCAATTTCTTTTTTCTTATTTACAGCCTAGATTAATTGCAATATATCCCTTTTAGAACTATGTTTTTATATGCTTTTAAACATCAATTGATTATACTTATTCTTCTTCTTGTGCCATATCCGTTATCGGACATTGGTGATCATGTTGGCAATCCTGTTTTTATCAGCAGCCGCACGAAAAAGTGCTGCTGAGTTTTGTCCAAACCAGTCCCTTATGGATGTGTGATTTACAATGTTTGTCATATTACAGAATTTAGGGAGAAAAAAAATGAAGTAATGGAGTTACTTCTCACTTAAGAACAATTGCATGCTGCCTTCTATTTAATAACAATATATAAATCAAATACAATGTACAAAATAAGATTATTTTATGGTTACTGCAGAAGCTTATAATTAAACTTAGTTTTATTTCCTTTATTATCTAATTTTCTTATCAAACATTTTCATTTATTTATTTATTTAAAAAAAACTGGTTTTCTTTTTCTCATAGTATTTGAAATCATCTTGGCATATCTGGAAAAGAAGAACTGGGAAGAAGCCTTTTTTACTATCTTGCCACAGCGAAAAGGGGCCAAACTGCTGCACGGGGCAACCGAGGTGACCGTTGCCTCCCCATGCAAGCAGCAAGAATCAGAAATTATTCAAGATGAAGTCTCTGAAAGCAGCTAAATGTCAGTGAAAATACTACTCATGACACGAGATAGAAAGCTTCCAACTTTGGAATTTATGGGATGATGCTATACCTCATCTCCTGGTTTCAAGCACCAGATTTTTATTACCAAATTTAAGCTGCATATTTACTCATAAAATATTTAATAGCATTTAAATATGCAAAAAAAACCTGTTGAAGGAGCTTAGATTTTCAAGGATGCCAATATTTATTTTCCTTCTTAATCTTTTATTTAATATTTGCTGGAGACTATTTGTTTTTTATTCTGTACCTCACAATAAAATGTAATTATAATGCAGTGAACATTCACTTGATTGAAATTATACTGAAACTCATATCAAGTGTAATGTTTTCTTGTTTTTTTTTTTTCTTCATGTTTGTAATATTTGATTTATTCTGAACTTCACAACAGAATTTTAATGATAATACAGTAAACATTCATTTGGCTGAAATCTGTATTGGAACTCCTGTTAAGTATAATGTTTTCTTGACTATAATTTTCTGTTTATAATATTTGAGATCTTTCTTTAGTAAAAGCAAGACATGATAAGATGCAACTGCAACTAAAATTGTAGATTAAGATGATGAGTAATTTTGTATTTCATTAAGACTTTGTTTCAATCTAAATCCTGTGGATTCCTATGCAGAAACAGGACAGAAATTTGTTTTACATTTCAACTTTTCTGATGTAATTCAACTACAGTTTACATCATGGGCACACTTAGTAATTTCTGCAGTAAGAATGAAAATGAAGGTGCATCATCAGAAGCATAACCTACCAGCAGCTTCCTGTTACAGTATATTGACATTGTCTAAGTGTAAGAAGTTACCATTATATATGTTTCTCCCCCCCAAGGCTCAGGTGTGAAGAAGCTGTGCTTTCACAACTTCTGTTTTGCAAATGAACACAAGAAGAGGCTCCACTCCAGTTTCACTGAAAGATTTATTTTAATAGTTACAATTCTTCATTGACAATATTAAAATTGTTGAATGTCCAGAAAGGTATATTTCCTATGTGCTATATGGCAGAGCTTTTCAACCTTTTCACCCATTGTACCACTTTTAGGATATGCCAATATCCGAGTGCCACCAGTCGCCTAGCAAGGTGTCAAAAACTTGACCAAAAAAAAAAGGAAAAAAGTGATAAAGTATAGGTAGTCCTCGACTTACAACATTTCGCTTAGTGACTGTTTGAAGTTACAATGGCACTGAAAAAAGTGTGTCCCAAGCCACAGCCGAGCAAGATACCTGCCTGCCCACCCAGTAGCGCTCTTCCTCCTGTCTGAGGTTTTCATTGTTGTGAGCATTTCTGTTGAGGATTGGCAGCGGAAGTGGGGTGGGGGGGGGTGTTTGGTTTTTATTCCCCCCATCTGCTGGGTGGTTGCAGCAGGTTTTGGTCACTTCACATGACTCTGGGACACTGACTGTCATAAATATGAATTAGTTCCCAACCATCTGAATGTAAATCACAAGACCCTGGAGATGCTGTAACATTCCAGCTGATCGGCACTTCTGGGCTCAGCAGAAGCGCCAGGATCAGCACTGAGCTCCAGCTGAAGTCTGGTGCTGATCCTGGTGCTTCCACTGAGCCCTGACAGCCCCAAAGAAGCGCCGATCAGCTGGAAAGCGGTACTGATCCTGGTGCTTCTGCTGAGCCCTGACAGCCCTGCAGCTCCAGCTATCTCTCGCTCAGGCTTATGTGGTGCCACCGGTTCAGGTCATTCCCCTCCCCCGCTACCACTTTTCTAAGATGGTCGCGTACCACCTGCCAGGTGCCAATGTACCACAGGTGGTACCCGTACCATTGGTTGAAAAGCCCTGCTATATGGCATGCTGAAAAAATAAGCCTGCTTCTTCAAAGTTACTTAGTTTTCAGAAGTTCAAAATCACTATGAGATTCAGTTATATTCCAAAAGCTTGAAAGTTTTAAGACAAGGAACTTTAATATGATTGAAGAAGTTAAACCAGTGGTTCTCAACCTGTGGGTCTGGACCCCATTTGGGGTCGAATGACCATTTCACAGGGGTCGCCAAACAAGGCTGTCCGCCATTTTTCCCCCTTTGGCCACGCCCCTGGCACCCGGTGATGTATAAGTGGTTGGGGGTCACCACAACATGGGGAACTGTATTATGGGGTCGCAGCATTAGAAAGGTTGAGAACCACTGAGTTAAACAAATATCAAAATGAGAAGCTAGCTAGAATTAAGTTTTGTTGATTCTCATTCAATTGTACGTGAAATTTAAAATAACAAATGTTCTCCCTCCCTCCCTATACATACACAAACATACATAGAGAGAGATCGCCAGTAAATAAAACAGTATTCAAAGTTAATCAAAGTTGTTTAATCTGTTGAAATAATTCTGCCATGCAGTTGAACTATTTCTACATATTTTAGTCTTTTTTTAAAAAAAAAAAGTTATTTTACTGAAGTGAAATGACTAGAGGTTTATAAAACAAAATGTGCTGTTTGAATAATAGATTTTAGCACAAAAATGTTACATGTTATAGTGATTCCTTCAGCATTTTTATTTATTTAACTCAAATGCAGCTTGGTATATACAGTATAAGCAAATCTAAAACCAATTGGCTTTCCTCTATAAGCAATAAGGAGGTAACAAAGGGGAATGGAAATAAGGTATGCAAAAACTACTTGGATGCTCTTTTTAAACCTTGGAAAAAGCTATTTAAATTAACTATCAGAAGGTTACTGCTATTTTTCCAATCATACGGGAAGGTTCCAATCTCAATAAACTAGAAACTGGGATATAGTCCTGTCTTACTTAGCATGAAAGGCAGCTATGTGACCTTGAGGCAATCACTCTTTCTCAGCCCAACCCATGTCACAGGGTTGTGAAAAAATAGTGGAAGGCGTATTAGGTATGTTCACTATCTTAAGTTATTTATAAAACTAATAAAAGTGGGAAATAGATAAAATCAGATATTTTGGACAGCACAAGTTGGAGTTTTTCTGGAAAAACAAGAATGATTGGACATCTTCCTTTCTAAACCAAAAATAGTGCTGAAAGTATTGCCAATAAATTTATTTTGGTGCTCTAAAGAATTGGCAAAATAAGACATTTTCCAATTTTGTCTCTCAGGTGTTGTGTTCTGTAGTTTTCTGTTTTAAATTTGCCTTTATTAGGGGTAGCCATTAATGGTTGTCATTAGATTAAGATACTATAGAGTCACTTTCAGTTTTTATTTTGGGAATAATATTTTTTTCAGAAACAACTTTATCATGTATTTCTCCCATAATACTGTGAGGGTTCGCTGTCTTTTGCACCAACTAATCTTCAGTGACATTATTAGTAATTCCCTAGAATAAATTGTATAAATACATGCCTAAGAATGTTTGGTTGCTGTCTGAAGACTTTTATGAGGTGTTTGACATGGATATATGACTGTTTAAAGTAGCCTATTTGACTTGTTTCAGTAGACCGAGACATACAGGATCCTGAAGACTGCAGACTCAGCTGTTAATGTCTGGGGAAACTTGGAGGAGAATCATTTATTATAGTACAGTGAAACATAACCACCACACTAGAATAGACATGGGTATAGCTCTCTTCTTGTTTCTCACAGCTTGTTTTGGTTCTGCTACTTTTGGTGGAGAACTAAAGTAAGCAAAGGAACAGGTGTGCATGCATATTGGGTGGAGGGGGAACTGGAGGACAGAGGTACTATTTTTCTCATGCAGCATTAGGCTAGAATTGATAAATTACTGTGCATTACTTGGGAAAGAGGTCAGAGATCTTTCACGTCAACTGGGAAAATATTTTTGCATTCCTCCATGCAGATTTTTTTCAGTGATGCTTTTGATTTGGCCATTCCATTTCTTCTACTTTTCCCCCCAGCTATTTCTTGGTGGATATATTGAAACATTTTAGGGTCATTGTTATATTGCAAGGTCCAGTTTTGGTTGAGCTTCAGTCTTCTCACATGGTCTCATACTATTTTCAAGTACTCTCTGGTACAATGGAGAATTCATAGTGCATTTTATGATAGAAGCTGACCAGGCTTACTTTTTCATATGATTGTACATGCATTCTGCATTACTGCCAAGCAAGCTACATGGATGAGTCCCTGAAGACCATGTGTCAAAATCAGTTTCAAGTTATTATTGACTGCATAAAGCTTATTGTATATTCCAGTGGTGGCGAACCTATGGCTCGTGTGCCAGAGGTGGCACTCAGAGCCCTCTCTGTGGGCACACGTGCTGTGCCCCGGAGATAGAGAGGGACTGGCCCCCACCACCCTGGCCCTGCCCACCCAATCTGCCATGATCACCGTGGCCATGCTCACCTGGCACCTGGTGATAAATAAGTGGGTTTTGTGTTGCAGTTTGGGCACTGAGTCTCTAAAAGATTCGCCATCACTGGTATATTCCATTGCAGTGATACTCTTCTTAAAGAAATAAGGATTCACAGTGAAGCTCTGGGATATGAGGAGCTTAGCTAGAATTTGAAACTACCAATTACTTTCCCTGTGCTATGGTATGCTTTTGCAGAAGCCATAATTCTCTTGAGTAGGAAGCTTGTTGATTTGGACTTCTCCACAAACATACAATCTGATTTAGTAAGAAGACTGTTAAAATTCTTTCTGTCCAAAGAGTACTACTATTTTCATTCTCTTCCCTAAGCTGCCTTTCATCTCCTAAAGATGTACACAGCATACATCAAAATTGATGTATCATTAAGTGGTGCCTCTTGAAATCCACTGAGCCACTCCAGAAAAAAAGTAGAAATGTTCAGGCCATGTCTGCACATCCCATTTTGGGACTGATGAGATACTATTATGGGCACATCGAAAACTATCACTTATTAAGATAGCTTTACAGTAGAACCAATATTCTTCCATGAAATGCTGGAAAGGAGAAATGAATAAGCATGCAATTGTTGACTTTCTGTTGTTGAAAATATAAAATCTAACAGTTAAAACAACATCTTTAGATGAAGCAAAAGGTTTCTTGGATTAGCAGAAAACAAAATAATCAATTTTAAATGGTCAAAACAGGATAATTTACGTGGTTAAATCCAGACTAATATCTTTCTTGGAGTTAATTCTCAATGAAAAGTGCATTTAAAATTCTGAAAGTTATAAGTAAATAAATTACTTCATTATTTGTATTCTGACATAATGGAAATGTCAGTTACGTCTGGTACAAATTTTAAACATCAGCTGTGAACTCTTACAAAGACAAATAAAATGTATTTAGCATTTTCATTATTTGTTCACTGTATTATTTGGGCTTAGATTAGATTTGGACTTAGATCAGGATGTCACCATCAGAGATTTACTACACACAGCCCTCTAAGAAAATGCCCTTTTCGTTTTCAGAGACTCTCAGGAAAGGAAAGAGGTGTGAAGAATTCTTCCTGAATTAAGTTTTTCTAAAGCGAGCCTTGCGGTATAAAAACTGGGTGCTGTTTTGGGTCAAAAAAGGAGACTGAGGGCCACTTGAGTGTTTTGCAGAACTGCTGGGAAGATCCTCTAGTGGTGCATTGTCTTCTATTTTCCCTCTCTTTGCAAATAAATTACTTTTTTCTGTATCTGAAAGAAATTTTTAGAAAACACTAGTTTAAGAACTCGGGTATTCTTATCTACACATCTAATGAAAAGGCGAGCATAATGGATGTGCAATGTGTAAGCAGTTATACATATGTAGTTATGCAGACTCCAAATAGCAGCCTATTGTTGTTTTCCTAATTATTCCTAATTTAAAATATGAGCTTTTTTTTTTTTTTTAGGACCAAAATATATACCTACCTGGTCTTGATCCTTTACTGGCTAGTGATCCTTGGCTTGAAGTCCTAAATGAAAGTAAGATTGTTTAACCATTCTGTACAAATCTAACATTAAATTTTGTGTGACTTTAGTAAAAAAAGATTCTAGGAAAAGAATATAAATAAATAGATAGATGGAAATTGAGCAGAAAGAACTGTATTCCTTTAATGTGTAAAGTAGTCTTCTCTTAGATCAGTGGTTCTCAACCTTTTTAATGCCGCGACCCCCCAACCGGTCGTAAATCGAGGACTACTCAACCGGTCGTAAGTCGAGGACTACTCAACTGGTGCAGCACCGTTTGCAGAATGGGACTTTTGGCAGGCTCAGCAGGGCAGAGACAGCCTGGACAATTCCTATTGGCTTTTGAAAGCCAATAGAATTAGACTCTATTCAAGAGAGTCTATTCTATTGGCTTTCAAAAGCCAATAGAATAAAAGGGAGTAGCACAGCTAAGGAAAAGGGAAAAAAATAGCAGACTGCATTGTTTGGCGACCCCCGTGAAATGGTCATTCAACCCCAAATGGGGTCCCGACCCACAGGTTGAGAACCACTGTCTTAGATACTCACTGACGAGATTGTCCCCTTGATAATTTCCCCATTTACTATTTGATTTCAGAAACTGGCTTTACCAGCAGACTGGATTTTGGTGCCTTTTAATCCATCTCATCACACCTACAAAAAATTCCCAAATAGTATTTCCTACTAATATAAATGAGGTGCCCCTTCCCATTGAACTATATCACCAAATTAATAATACAGGGAGTCCTTGACTTACAACATTTTTACAACCATTGCAGCATCCCTGTGATCATATGATCAAAATTCAAATGCTTGGCAACTGTCTCATATTTATGATGGTTGCAATGCCCCAGGTTCATGTGATCACCTTTTGCAACCTTCTGACAAGCAAAGTCAATAGGGAAACTAGATTCACTTAACAACCATGTTACTAAATTAGCAACTGCAGTGGTTCACTTAACTGTGACAAGAAAAGTCATAAAATGGAGCAAAACTCACTTAACAAATGTTTCACTTAGCAGCAGAAATGCTGGACTCTATTGTGGTTATAAGTCAAGGACTACTTGCATTGCAATGCTTTATTTAAAATATATAGAGAAGCCACAGTCACTCGAAAGCAATTGTAGGTATGTATAGGTCAGTGGCGGCAAACAGTTTAGAGACCAAACTGCAACCCAAAACCCACTTATGCATCGCCGGGTGCCAGGTGGGCGTAGCCACTGAATGGGCGTGGCCACCGAGCTGTCGACTCGTGCTCGCTCGCTGTTCGCTCCAACTTGTGCTCACTCGCTCGCTGTCTGCAGCAAATGCTGCTTCCGCCGAAAGTTGCTCCTTTTATAGCCTCTCGCCTATTCCCAGACTGCGCATGCACGGAGAGCTGAGCATGCATGGAGAGGAGGAGGGAACAGCTCGGCCCAGAATGGCTCGCGTGCCACCAGAGATGGCTCTGTGTGCCGCCTGTGATACACATGCCATAGGTTCGCCACCATGGGTATAGGTGATAATATCTACATGATGAGTTGACCCACATACTGTAAATTATATAACTCTCATCCTGAAAAATAGTTGTATTAAACTTGAATATTAAATGCATACTAAATAAAAACACTATTACACTACTAACAGAATATTATTTACATTTTTGTGGGCAATCCAGTTCCAGCTGCTTTTCGAATGACAAAATGACAAAAACAGCATCACATTGCAAGCTCAGCCTGTTTGGGACATACATGTGACATCAAAATAGATTATCAAAAGGGCAGAACGTGGAGTGCAGCAAGGTGGCATCATTCAAATGATGATCGTACACATTTGGAAAAGTCACAATATAGTTTCTTTTTGTTTGTGCACACTTCTTGCAGAATGAATCATGAGTTTACCCACATAGTAGGTCCAGTTGTAAGATTGCAGTAATACCACTGATGATGTCAAAATTACTTGCCTAATTCTAATCCTAACCCAAATCAATCCATTGTAAGATGAAGGACTTTTCATTGAAGGTTAAGGACTATGATCTAGCATAGTGATGGTGAACCTATGGCACGCATGCCAGAGGTGGCACTCAGAGCCCTCTCTGTGGGCAGGCACGCTGACACCCCGGCCCCGCCTTCCCCCACAGCCCCCTCACCAGCAGCCTCCCCAGAGGAGATTCGACCCCCGGCGCAGCCCGCACAGAGCAGCGCAGCCAAACACATGGCAGCCGGGCAACGGGCAAGATTCCATCCTTGCACCCCATCACACACAGATGATACTGTTGGGCACGGGTGGAGGACATGACTGCCATGGCGCTGCAGGGCCACCTGGGCGATCTGCGGCAGGCCATGGAGATGGTGGATGGCCCTGCGGGTGGGCGATGGCGGTAGAAGGGGCAGAGCAGGTGGGCAGAGCAGGGGCGGGGTGGTTTTTGGGCACTTGGTCTCTAAAAGGTTCGCCATCACTGATCTAGCACATTCATCCAGTGCAGGCTAATAGATGGTTTTTGACTTTCCATTCTAGGGAAAAGACTTGAAACTCTCAAGTCATTCTTGAGAGAGAATAACTGGCCCAAAGTCACCCAACCAGGTTCAGCCTAAGGGAAGATTGGGATTTGGACCTTCCCATTCCATTGGTTCTTGCCTTTCTCTTAAAATCAAGAACCTATAAAGATGATCAGCTGTTAAATTATATTTGCAGGAGCTCTGAGAAGCTTTAGATAAACAGGTTACAGTAGGTGCTTCCATGGTGCAAACTCCATTCCTTGTGCACTTTTGGTGAGTTTACCTGATACGGCTACCTTCATTAGGTGTTCCTTTTTGCCCTCTCAGCAAAGCCTGAATGTTTGGAACTTCACTTTCAATCTGGCCTGTTGGCATATAATTCAACAGATCACGGCCGGTCATATCTGAGCGTATGAAATTGGATACAAACTCTTTCTCTGAAATAGGAAAGATATAGGGGCACTTTAAAAGGTAAGCTTTACAAATTACCTTTTGGTTCGATAGTGAGCAATCTGCTTATGTTTAAATTTCACTCATGTATGCTTTCTGACTGAGAGTGTGGGTACATGAAAAGGGTTGATCAAGAGCCATAGCCAGTGTAGCAAACTCTGTTTTTCCCTCTCTCTGTAGCTGAAGAATGCTTCTTTCATTTTCTTTCAGAATTAGAGAATATTCCACACACATGCTTCAATATGCAGTTTGTCTATTACATCAGATCTGTTTCTATATCTAGTTGATATGACTTGAAAGGATGTAAGAGTAATATTCATCCTTCTCTCTAAATGAAATAAGATATGCTGATTCTTCCCATATAGTAGACTGAAAATAAAAGAAACGACTGCTTTAATAGTCACATTAATTTTAATGAGTTGACTCATTAAAACAGCAGTAGCAGCTGATAGCAAAGAGTTCAAAACCGGGCCTTTCAAATAATTTTCGAAGTGTATTGTGCACTTTAAAAAAACTTGATTATTGATACAATAAGAAAAACAAAATACATGTTTTGCAACTATAACATGTATTTTTTTTTACCTTTCACACTTGCCTTTAATAACCACTTTTGGATCCCTCCAAGGGTATCTGTCTGTAAAATGTCACAGAGTTTTTCCAGGACCTAGAATCAAGATGGTCATATTAAGTGGAAGTTTTAATTGTCTTATGTACAACTCTATTTATCTTTTTAATGTTCCAGTTCAATGTCTGAAAGTATTGCCAAAAAGATATCAATATTTTTTTTTAGAATACTATTGATTTTATCCCTGACTGGGTTTATACTGAGCCAAACATTAATTCAAATTATATACAAATGCTGTATGTAAAATGTAAAATAATTTAACCTTCATAATGTGTAACACCTAACACCATGCTTGCAATACTTCAGTTTTCTAAGAGTTCAGATTCCTAAACTGGTAGAAAAGGGCAGGTATTTTGGAGAAAGACATAACAATAAAAATCCAATTTATTTTTATATAGAACCTTAAACAAACTATGTTGTCACAGTGAATAGGGAATACAATACTTTTGACTTTGGCAAAGACAATACAACATTTTCATGCACCTGGGCAAAATTGCAAAAGGTAGTTGCTAGTGGATTCTGAATTTTTAAAAACGTATGTAGAGTCTGATGGAAAGAATAGGGCCAGTCTGAAAATATCTAGCCAACCATTTTTGAAAATAATAATAATAACAACAACAACAATAATATCATCATCATTATCATCAACTGGGACTTCAGAATTCAAACAGACAAGCACCTGCAATATAACACCCCGGACTTAACAATTGTCGATAAGAAAGACAAAAAAGTCTGGATAGTGGACATGGCAGTGTGTGGAGACAGCAGAATAGACGAGAAAGAACTGGAGAAGATAACAAAATACAAATACCTATGAATAGAAATAGAAAGACTGTGGCAAAGGCAAGCAAGGATAGTACCTATAGTAATAGGTGCCTTAGATGCAATCCCAAAACAACTGGAGCACCACTTGAACACCATTGGCATTGACAAATTTGCCATTAGTCAATTGCAAAAGGCGGCCTTACTAGGAACTGTTTCCATCCTGCGACGATATCTGTAATACCATCAAACACTCACATCTTCCTATCCCAGGTCCTTGGTAAGGACTCGATAGATAGACAAAAATGCCAAATCCAGTCTGAACATCTGGCTGACTGTGTGATGATCAATAATAATATAATATTAATACAGGTGGTTCTTGTTTAACAATCATTCTTTCAATGACAGTTTGAACTTGTGACAGTACTCAACAAGTGGTACTTACAACTGATCCTTAAAGTTCCAGCCATCACAATACCTTGGCAATTACATGATTGTAATCTGAGCGCTCAGCAACTGACCCAGTTTTCTGACTGTCAGAATGTCTTTAAATCAACTGTCAGAATGTCTCTCAATACAACTTTCCTTGCTGGCTTTCCACAATCAAGGCCAGTGGGTAAGGCAGCAGGAAATCAAGAGTTATATTTCATGTGAAATCCTTGCTTAATGACCTGCATAGATTAACTTAATGAAAACAGTAATTGGGGACTGCCAGAACTACCATCACTAATTGATAGGGTCATAGGGCAGGGCTGTCAAACTGGTGGCCCGCAGGCCAGATGCATCCCGCACAGGCCACGCCTACCCCAGTTCCACAAAGGCAAAAAACATTGCGATATGTCACATGACGCAATCCAGTTTGACAGTCATGTCATTGGACATCACACTTTATGTCCAGACCCAATTCCAGTTGTTAAGGAAGGATTACCGGTAACTTCTTTCTTTTAATATATTTATATCTTTTATTGTTGTAATATGCCCAGAGATACCCTAAGATGAGAAGCTAATAAAACAAACCAATAAACAAATCTTAGTTGGGTTTTGTATACACCTTTGGTTCCACCAGCAGCACTTTCTAGGGTTCTGTTTCAGCCTTCCCTGGGATGAGCATCCTTTATTCATGTGGAGTTAAATTCTTCTAGCATGACCACTGATGAGTTTTGGCAGTTTAAATCTATGTAAATGGAGGACACCATGGTTGGGGACAGCTGTCTTGAGAAATTTATGGGTTTTAAAGAAATTTCAACATTTATCTACATTCAGTACCCAATAATTTCATCGACCATCTGCATATTTTTACTAGTAGTTTCAGTTAAGTGACAATGCAATTCAAAGAAAAATAAGGTTATCGCAGAATACATCCTGGTATGTGAAGAGGGAAATTATTGTATAATCCACTGTTTCACAGGAATATTCCTTCAACCTATCTTTTAAACATCATTCCTCTTTGCCCAACATATTTTAACTTATCTTAACATATAGTATATAGAAGAACCACTTACTGATCGAATCTTACTTTTATTTCTTGATCCAGATAGCTTGGAACATAATTAATATTTTCCCTGAAGTTTTCTTTATGATGCATTCTCGGGAGAGGGAAAAGATGGAGGTCCCGAGAAGTCCTACTTTGTGGATGGTCTCCTAAGTATTTCGTCAGAGGTTCATCCTGATGATAAAACATTATACAAAGAGAGACAGCAAATATAGTTGACAGCAAAAATGCATCTGTGAATTTGCTATGCTTTGTTCTGATGTGGTATTGTATGGGAAAACAGGAACATCTGAGGGGAGATCTTACCAGAGTTCAAGCCAGCAGTCAAATTGGAGAAGAACTGGCTATTTGACCCTCTTGTTCCCTTTCTTCCATCCTGGTAAGATGTGGCCTCAATTCCTGAGCTACCTGACAGCTTTGTCTTGGAGACCAAGAAATTCCCTTTATGCTCCTTGGTGAAATTAGTCTGCTAAACACAGTTACTTGAGAAGTCTATAAGAAAACCCTCATTTCTACAATTATACAATCTCCACAGCTACTCTGTGTATGTTTGTGTGTGTGTGTCTGTGTCTCTCTCTGTGTGTGTGTTTGCTTCCATGCTTTTGAGTTAGTGTGAACACTTGGTGAATGCCTGGACCCTTCAGTTTTTTTAGAAAAATTTCAGACGTAGTTTGCCATTGTTTACTTTCTATAGCTGAGAGAGAGAGTAACTGTCCCAAGGTTGCCCAGCTGGTTTCATTCCTAAAGTGGGATTATAACTCATGGTCTCTAAGTTTCTAGTCTGATCCCTTAACCATTACCTCAAACTGGCTCTCCCACAATTACTACATCTCTTTCCCCAGTCTTTTCTATAACATAGAAGCATTGCTGAAATTAGGCTATTTGGGTGGCCTGATCATGAGGCACTAATGATTATATGCAACCCAAGACAAGAAGTCCTGATTATTAATTATAATGAAACCAAATTACTGGCAAACAGTTTCCTGGTAAGCCATTATAATGGGGGCAGAGGACTCCTCACCTTTCTCTTTAAGAGAGGAGTGTTTCCTGCTTGATTTTTTAGCTCTGCAAATTCATCCTTAGTAAGATCTGGAATAATAAAGTTGAAGTTGAAATTTAGAAGGCTGGACAGATAATTACACTTCTATTAGAAAAATTCAACAATGTGTAATGTTTTTATTAATTGGGGATAGCGAAATAGATGCCCAAATTCAAATGGGCAATATTGTAGTAATAGTAACATATACGCTAGTGAATACACCTTTTTGCAAACCATTCACAGTTCTCTGCTGTAATTCACAACATAAACTGGTTGAACACAAAGTAAAAGATGGTAGGCAGCTCCTGTTTTTAAGCTGCATCTCAAGTTGGCCTTTTAGTTGCTTCTTTGTCTCTTACATTCTTCGGATCTCCAGTTACCAGATCACCAAGGAGTGCCAGAGACCTCATTCCAACTAGTCCTTATCTAGGTACTCTTCAGCCCTTCATTTCTACTGAAAGTGTGTCAAAATGCAAGATGAAATAGGAAAAACTCAATTTTAATCTTGTATGGATGGATTCAAAGCTCAATAACTTTGCAGTCATGCACATTACTTACGTGGAAGATTTGCTCCGTCTCCCTCTGGTATCAGGCTTGGCAAAGCATTATTGGGAAAAATCTTATCTGCTGGAGTTCTAACAGGCCTGTAAGGCTGGCTGTATGCTGGGCCTGGCATGGTGAAATGTCCTTCATTATATCCTCGGTCTCGTACAAAGCAGACAGGCACATCATTTAATCCTGAGTAAGAAAATGAGCCTTTAATATTTTCTCAGGTGCATAATTGAATTTGGCATAATGAACAGGCAATCTTTTGGGACCATTGAGTATATTAGGAATTTTAAGAATATGCTGTGGTTGTTTTCATGGTATCATGGACGGAATGGACCAACTCACCACAGTCAAGCAGCTGGACAATTCAGGACAATTAATTATTTAAAATAATTTAAAAAATATATTTATTTTTTGTCATTCACATTTCATTTTGTCCTTTTTGTATCCTTTCTTTAATGATTCTATTCCACCATTTCTTTGATATTAATATAATTGTCTTGTGGCAAGTTGACCATGGCATGTTTTCCTAGACCCTTCATAGATGCTTAATAGTCATGATAGAAACATTAAATTACTAGAATGCAAACTAATGAGGTTGCCCCCTGCCATCTCTACCTGCCTCTGCCAAGATCATTTTACTGTTCTAACTTGACTACCATTTTCCTGGAGGAAAAACAACAACAAAACTCTACAAATAAAAGTTACAGAAAAACAAGGCAAAAGAGCTATTATCCATTTTCATTTTCTAACAATGCATCTGAGAGATATAGGAAGCTTAGCGGTGTCAATGAAGGCAAATTTGGAAAGTTGCACCCTGTTTTGCAAATCTATAGTTACAGTAAAGTCTATTTTCAATTCATATTGGTTTTTTAAAATATATTTTATTGGATTTTTACAATAACAATCTTTAGTGCTTAGTAAACAATGTGTTGTCTGGGTTTATATATTTAAAAACAATCAATAGTGATTAATTCCCATAATTCCATAATCAATGTATTCAAAAAAGGGAAAAAATGGATCCAGAAAATTACAGACCTATCAGCCTGACCTCAATACCTGGGAAAATTCTGGAAAAGATAATCAAACAACAAATCAGCGAACACCTACAGGCAAACCAAGTCATTACTAAAAGCCAACACGGGTTTGTCAAAAACAGATCATGCCAGACAAACCTTATTGCATTCTTTGACCAAGTGACAAAATTAGTGGACCAGAGGAATGCTGTGGATATAATTTACTTGGACTTCAGTAAGGCATTTGACAAAGTAGATCACAACCTACTACTTGATAAGATAGAAAAATGCAGGTTAGACAGCATCACCACCAGATGGATCCATAGCTGGCTGACCGGCAGTACTCAGCATGTGGTCCTCAATGGAACCACATCTACATGGAGGGAAGTGTGTAGTGGGGTGCTCCAGGGCTCTGTTCTGGGCCCAGTGCTCTTCAACATCTTCATCAATGATTTGGACGAGGGGATAGATGGGGAACTCATCAAATTTGTAGACGACACCAAGCTGGCAGGAATAGCCAACACTCCTGAAGACAGGCTTAGAATACAGGAGGATCTGGACAGACTTGAACACAGACTGGGCATTATCTAACAAAATGAAATTCAATGGTGAAAAAAGTAAGGTTCTACATTTAGGCAAGAAAAACAAAATGTATAGGTATAGTATAGGGAGTACCTTGTTCAATAATAGTAACTGTGAGAAGGATCTCAGAGTCCTAGTGACAATCATTTAAATATGAGCCAGCAGTATGCTGCAACTGCCAAAAAAGCCAACATAGTGCTAGGCTGCATTAACAAAGTGATAGAATCAAGATCACGTGAAGTATTAATACCACTTTACAATGCCTTGGTAAGGCCACACTTGGAATACTGCATCCAGTTTTGGTCACCACGATGTATAAAAGATGTTGAGACTGTAGAAAGAGTACAGAGAAGAGCAACAAAGATGATTAGGGGACTGGAGGCTAAAACATATAAGGAAAGGCTGTTGGAATTGGGTATGTCTAGTTTAACAAAGAGAAGGACGAGGGGGGACATGATAGCAGTGTTCCAATGTCTCAGGGGCTGCCACAGAGAAGAGGGAGTCAAGCTATTTTCCAAAGCGCCTGAAGGCAGGACAAGAAGCAATGGATGGAAACTAATCAAGGAGAGAAGCAACTTTGAACTAAGGAGAAATTTCCTGACAGTTAGAACAATTAACCAGTAGAACAACCTGCCTCCCGAAGCGGTGAATGCTCCAACACTGGAAGTTTTTAAGAAAAAACTGGACAGCCATTTGTCCAGAATGGTATAGGGTTACCTGCCTGAGCAGGGGGTTGGACTTGATGACCTCCAAGGTCCCTTCCAACTTTATTATTATTATGATTATTAATTATTATTAATTATTATTATTATTATATTTCCTTGATCTTCTCTTCTTCCAATAATATACTTCTAATAGTATTCTCCTTTGTCAACATTAAACAAATATAATTCTTAATATTTTTGATACATTTAAGGTTGAATATAAACATTTTTTGTGTTTGTACAAATAACAATAACATATAACATCTTTTGTTTCAGTTATATTTGTAAAAGTCATTTTATTAAGTCATTAGGTGTCCTGTTTTCAAAATTTTTATTTAAGCTTAATTTCTCAGTATTCAAACTATTTTTATCAGTCATAATTTTCTCAGAATTGATTACCTTTAAATATCCAAACTTTTCATTCACATACATATTTTCATATTTCATATATTATAAAAATACTATACTACTTATATAGTTATAACATTCACATATAACATCTTTTCTGGTAGTCATAATTTTATCCAAACAACTTAATTTTCATTCCAGAGCTTATTAGTTACTTATTGCTAATGAACCTGAGATATCAAATATTTCTCAATTTAGGGATCAAAGCCAATTATATAAACTTACACATTATGATTTGTAAATCATAGCTTATGGTTTGGAGTACAGATGATCCCAGAACAGTTAATGCAAAAAACCATGCTTAAAACAAACCATAGTTTAATACAATATGAAGGTTATTTTATCTGTTTCTAATGCAAAATTGTATAAAAATAATTATGAAAGGCTGTGGGTCAAAATACAAAGAGATTTGGAAAATTGGGAGAAGCTGCAATTATCTCTTTTGGGAAGAATTGCGGCGATTAAAATGAATGTTCTGCCAAAGTTTCTTTTCTTATTTCAAATGATACCCATTTTAAAGAATGAGGTTAATTTAAATGAATGGCAGAAAGGTATCACTAAATTTATCTGGGCAGGGAAAAAACCAAGAGTAAAACTTAAAATTATACAAGATATTCGTGAGAGAGGTGGACTCAAGGTACCAAATTTGAAATTGTATTATGATGCTGTGGTTTTAACATTAATTAGTGATTGGGTTAACTTAACAAATGTAGAAATACTCCTCTTGGAGGGTTGGGATTTACTTTTTGGATGGCATGCCTATTTAATTTTTAATAAAAAGGTTGATAGGGTTTTTAAATCTCATAAGGATTTCTTTACTTCGGGTTTGGAAGAAATATTATAGAAGTGATTTTAAAATTCCACTATGGGCTATACCGGGGCATGCGATAGAAGGGATAAGGAGAAGAGTCAAGATGGATAGCGTTTCTTATGCACAATTACTTAGATTGGATGGTTAAAAACTGGCAATTAAAATCTTTGGAAGATTTAACACAAGAAAATATTATTTATTCATGGTTCCATTATAGACAAATAGTGGAGAGGTGGAAGATAGATTGTAACGTGGGTTTGCTTAGAGAAGATGAGAATTTATTAAAACAAATAAAAGATCAAAGACGAATTCATATTAAGAGAATTTATGGGGTGTTAGTAGAATTGGATTCAGAAGCAGAATTAGTTAAAGAATGTATGGTTAAATGGGCACAAAATTTTGATGAACCGGTTCCATTAGATACCTGGGAGATTATCTGGGTGAGGAATGTTAAATTTACACAAGCCCAAAATTTAAGGGAAAATTTTTATAAAATGTTTTATAGATGGCACCTTGATCCACAAAAAATGTCTCGTATATATCCTGACTTGCAGCCTAAATGTTGGAGATGTGGATGTTTGGGTGCTACTTATTATCATATCTGGTGGTAATGTAAAAATATAAAAGCTTTTTGGATTAAGATATGGTGGAATATCCAAAGAATTTTCAGAAGAAGGGTAAAATTTACCCCACAACTGTTTTTGTTAGGTATTGTTTCTGATTGTGATAGTAAAGAGACTATATTGATGTTAAATTTAATTACAGCGGCCAGGTTGTTAGTAGGGCAATGTTGGAAGAAGGAATCTTTGCCTACTTTGCAAGAGTGGTTTCTTAAAGTTTCTTATTTGGCGGAAATGGCAAAGATTTCGGCTTTCTTGAAAGATCAACCGCAAGAGAAGTATTTCCTGGTATGGAAAAAATGGATGGATTTCATACAATATAAGTTGGATATAAAAAAATATTATTTAGTTTTTGAATAATCTATATTTAAAATTTAAGATATTTTATAGACATTTTTTTTAATTTTCTTTTTATTTCTTTTTATTTTTTTATTTGATTTTTTCTCTTTCTGTTTCTTTTTTCCTTCCTTCTTGTATTTTTTTTATATATATATTGTTGTTAACTATTTTATAATTTGTTTAATTAATGTATTTAGATTTGCTTATGGTTTATATGTATTTTAAGATTTTTTTAATTTTTTTTAATTAAGGCTGTATTCAGCTCTGGGAAGGTCGGGGGAGGGTATGGGAGGGTTGGGAGGGTTTGGGGAAGGGAATTGTTTTGTAAAACTTAAAATTTTCAATTAAAAAAAATACAATATGAAGCTCCATTGTTATTAGCATATGCTATGCTTTCTTAGGCTTGTGAGTTTTTGTTTTTAAAAAAATAATTTTCTTTTATATAGTCACTTTTTTCCATCTTGTTGTATGCCACACAGTCACTTTATTGTGAGATTGGCGGCCATATAAAATTAACAAATAATTTGACAAATAAGCTCAGACAATGTTTCTATTCAAGAAAACATAAATGAGAATGGAATTGTGATATTAATTAGCCATATGGGATGTGGGGCACAAAGGAGCCTTACCTTTAATGTGACATACATTTTTGGGATGTGGAGAGTGTCTACAAACAAAATAAGTTCCTGCTCTTTGCACGGGCTCATTTGACCTTTTCCCGGCATTTCCTTTGTTCATAAGAAGCTCAGGTTGTTGTCGGAAATTGATATTCATCTTAAGACTGTGCTTTTTTCTATGCAGTTATTCATGGGGCAACGAGTAGCTGCAGCATCTTCTGGAGGGATCTTTAATGCTGGACATAGAGAGGAATAAAAAGAGGAATCAAACTAATAAACATTCATAAGCATCAAGGTATCTTAGTATTATGGGGTGAAAATTGATAAAACTAATAAAGCCCTTCAAAACATCTTAAGTAAACCAAAAGACCCAGCAACTCCAGAAGAAAAAACAGGAGTCACCTACAACATACAATATAAGGACTGCAACAACCACTATGTATGGCAAACAGGCAGAAGAATGGCAGAACACATCCATAAACTCCAATTAGCAGTCAGAAGATATGATAAAAATTCTTTAATTTCACAACATATAGACAGACTTAACCATAGTTTCAAATGGGAAAATGTGACCATCCTAAACCAAGCCAAGTCCAAAACCACCAGGGAATTCCTAGAAGCCTGGCACTCTGGCAAATCAGCCATCAATAGACACAAAGACATTAACAACATCTATAGACTATGCAAAAGAGACAATCAACTAGCCCAAAAGGGAACAAAAACACCCGAGCACCTCTCCGTCAGCAATCAGCACCCAGATCAGCATAGATTATAACTCCAAGATTAACTTCAGACCAATAATCAAGTAAACAATACCCAAATCAAGAAATTGCCAGTGAAGCCAATAGCCCAACCAAAGAATATCTAAGACCACCCCCACCAACACTCACGGGGTAAGCCACTAGAATATAAACTGACAGCAAACTCCACTCCTTACTAACACTGATGATGTTACCTAATTTGGGTAATGAAACATCTGCAAGAAAACAAGCACCAAAGACCCCTCATTTCAACTCTGAGTTACAAATATTCTCCTTTATTGAAAACTGTCTTCCAGAATTGTTTCTAACAGTGCAACCTTGAATATCCGTGGATCTAGATGGCACTGCCCTAAGAAGACCCCACATGATAGCTGAGAAATGAGAGCTAGACTGGCCCTAGGAGGCCATGAACAGGGAGGACTTGGTTTAATTTCACCCAAGTCTGTTTCTTATATGTGTTCTCATAGACCATTGCACATAACAAATATATAGATTAATACAGAAACGAGGCTCATTTGTGTTTTGATCTGATAGCAGGATCTAGGTCTAGGAGATAGAATTGAATTGAATATTGAATATTCTTTATTGGCCAAGTGTGATTGGACACAAAAGGAATTTGTCTCTGGTCCATATGCTCTCAGTGTACAGTACGTATAAATAACAAAATGATATAATCATAAGATACCAATAGGAGAAGATAATGGGAAAGATGAGAAGGATAATAGTAATACAGCCCTATGCAGGTTGATATTAAGATTTACCCTCTCCCCCAACACATGCTGATCTTTGCAACAGTGAGTTGGATACTATTTCCCATCACAGCACTATTATTAAACTGGGGTTTTGTGTTGATAGAAAATCACCCTGTGTACATTTTAAAATAGATGTTGTGCTAAAGAATGCTATTTGTCTCCTTCCAAGATAAAAAGCTCAACACTATGTAAATCTATATAAGTTTATAAACTTCACTTTCCTAAAATGGAATTAGCATATATATATATATACTACAATATTTGTAAGGCTGAAGAACTCTGATTTATAGCCTTGACAAGGATTAAATCAACAATAAAACACTGCACTATTATATGTAGGAAAATAATCAAATATGCTATTTTAGGACTTTTTAGGACTTGGCACTAAACAAAAGGAACTCCGTTTAGGTAAATGCTATGTCAAATTGTTTTTTTTTAAAAAAAACGGGATTATTTAAACTTCGGATATTGTGGTTTATATTGTAGAATTAATGCTGCTTTCATTTTATATGCTTCCTAGAGGACTCAATTACATATTAATGCAGAAGATGTTCAAGATTAATATACACATGACATCAAAGATTTTTCTTTTGCAACTGATGGATAAACAGTTGAAAATAAACCATGGAATTTTATTTTGACATAGTCCTCAACAGTTCATTTAGTGACCATTCAAAGTTGCAATGGCACTGAAAAAAAGTGACTTATGGCCCTTTTTTAAACTTACGACTGTTGAAGCATCCACATGGTCACGTGATCAAAATTCAGATGCTTCTAACTGCTCCATATTTACGACAGTTGCAGTGTTCTGGGGTCATGTGACCAGCTTTTGTAACCTTCTGATAAGTCAAGTCAATGGAGAAACCAGATTCACTTAACAACCGTGTTATTAATTTAACGCCTGCAATGATTCACTTAACAACTCTGGCAAGAATGTGTTGTAAAATGGAGCAAAATGGAGGAAAACTCATTTGGTAACATTTGGTTATAAGTCGACAATTACCCGTATATGATAACTGCAGCACGATTATTATATGCACAAAGGTGGAAATATTGAGCTTACCCACAGTGGAGAAGTGGATGGCAAAAATGATGGAATATACTGAGATGGTCAAATGGACAGCCTTAATTAGAGAAAAGAGATCATCTAAGTTTAATACTGACTAAAAGTATTTTTTGCATGAAAAAAAATGTAATTATAATATACAGTTTTGAAGATTAGAAAAAATAGATTATAGAAAAAATGTAAGTAATGCTGTGAACATTGAGTAAGATCTTAATTTACGTTTTTTATTATTTAGAAAAACAATGCAAAAGAAAATTGGAAATCACTTCTTTATATATATATTTTCTCTTTTTTCTGCACTTTTGACTTTGGCTCCCCCCCTCTTTTTTACTTTATTAGTCGCAGTTAGTTTTTATCTTGCTCCTTTAAAACTTTAATAAAGATAGATTTAGATTTTTAGATTTGCTTTGGATCGGCATGCATTCAAAGCTGTTTAAAGGATGCTTTTTCCCACCCCATCACTAACTTCACCGACATCACAACTTAGGGCCTAAGGAGAAATTCCCTTACAGCGAGAACAGTGGAGCTGCTTGCCTCCAGAGGTTGTGGGTGCTCCATCACTGGAGGCTTTTAAGAAGAGACTGCACAGCCACTTGCCTGGAATGGATTGGATTAGAAGATCTCCAAGGTCTCTTCCAACTCTGTTATTCTGTAAAGATTTGTATCTTGGCAGCATTCTTCCCAAATTCAATTGCTACACAATCTTTTGCTCCGATAACCCTTGCCAAAGAGAGCCTCTACAGCAGTGGCTCTCAACCTGTGGGTCAGGACCCCATTTGGGGTCGAACGACCATTTCACGGGGGTCGCCAAACAACGCAGTCTGCCATTTCCCCCCCCCCCTTTTCTTTAGCTGTGCTACTCCCTTTTATTCTATTGGCTTTCAAAAGCCAATAGGAATTGTCTAGGCTGTCTCTGCCCTGCTGAGCCCACCAAAAGTCCCATTCTGCAAACGGTGCTGCAAGTTGTCTGCAGCGAAGGCGAGCTGTCTGGAAGTTTCCACCCCTCCTGCTGAGCAACTACTAAAAATGTAAGTAAAAGAGGGCCAGGGGTGGGAGGTGGGAGGCCGGCGGGTGCAGGGAGGGTTGCTGGTGTGTGTGGGGCCCGGCCGGTGCCTTACCTCCCTTGGGCTGGGCCAGCTGGTGGCCCAGCCGGTGGTCGGCCTGCGCCGTCTCTGCCACTTGCCAGCTACACCTCGGCCGGCACAGGGGCGGCACCACGTATGCGCGGTGCTCCCGGGCAGGGAAAGTCCTCGACTTACGATCGGTTGGGTAGTCCTCAACTTACGACCGGTTGGGGGGCGCGGCATTAAAAAGGTTGAGAACCACTGCTCTACAGCTTCCCATATCTGAGGGACCCACCATGTCTAAATCCAGTAGCCATCTGCACTGTACTTAAACGTCAGGCTTAAGCAGTATTGGAAATTAGGAGTCTTTACCAAATTTATATAATATAAGCAAAATACCTCTGTTATATCTAGCAGAATGTGGTGCTTATGTAGTCTTTCTTATTCTACTGCTGCTTGCACTTCTTCAGTTGAGTCAAATGCTTTTCTGATTTTGAACTATTCTTCTCCGAATAGGCAAAGCAATTTTTGCAATACATTTGGCCCTTGTCTCAGGCAACTGGATATGTTTTTCAACCTATATTTTGCTTTCTTTGTTCCTGGCTTCCCTGAACAGCTGAGAAAAAAGCAAGTAGAGACACAGCAGCCAAGAATTTTTGCTCCCCAGCATTCTGTGCACATCACTTCTTTTATGACATCTTGCTACCATATACAGACATAAGTAACCCCATGGTTTCCTGTACTCTGTACTGTAAACAGCAAAATGCAGTAAAATGCATGGCTTACTCCTGGAAGCATAAATTATCTACTGATATTCAGCTTCACTTAACAATGAAATAGAAGCCAAAAATAAAGCTGACAGAAACCTTTCTCAAATAAGGAGTGCAATTGGTGATAGGATGATCATCCAGTGAAATCCTGACTTGCTAAATTATGAGTATTCATAATTTTATATGGCCCTGTGTTAAGAATCATTCAAACTCACTGCCATGGATCTCATATGGAACTTAGGAAAAAAAAAAACCCAGCAACCTAGACAGGGGTCACAATTTCCTTTTAACCTTGTCCAGAGTAGCGCAGCAAAAATTGGAAGGCCCTCAAAATTTACTCTGGGCTTTGTTCCTCATTTTGCTTTCCTGAACATAACCCTGCCACTTTTCTTAGGTCAGATACACCTGGGGTTGCAGATCATATAAATTCATTAATGACCTTGGGGTCATGGTACTGCAATGTCTGAGGACCCAATCCTACAGTATGTCATGAAATATATATATATATATATATATATATATATATATATATATATATATATATATATATATGCGATTAAAAAGGTTAAAAATATGAACCCTGGGAATATTCATAATGAAAATATAAAATGAGCACCAGGGTAGTAAAAACTATAAAAGTTTTTAATAAATTAAAACTATAAAAGTTTTAAAAAACGCCAAGCTTTCGCCGTCACCTGCCGGCATCCTCAGGGCTGGCGCGCCAGAGAATGAGAAGGTCTTTTATAGGCGTGTCGAGGTCTGCGCCCGGCTCCTCGATCTTGTTATCGGGCCTAATTGGTTCAGCCGTGTGCAATTAACCTGTGCTTCTTTTCTCTTTTTGGTTGCATTTTTATCCTCATCCGTCTCCAATTCTCCCAACTCCGGATTAGCTAGATGGCAATTGCAGTTATTTCGGTTGCCTTTATATTCTAACCTCCCCTTAGGCTCAGGTGGTAGTGCACATTCCACATTCCTTTCTCCACCATATCTTGTCCAGTTGTTACTTTTAGGATCGTATTCATTTCCGGTCTCAATACTTTCATTTTTAATGTGTCCGTCATCCTGATGATCTCGTAAGTTGCTACGGGTCCGGTGCAGCGTGGGGGGGTGTTCCGCAAGGTGGAGGGATCGTCTCTTATTAGTTGTCATGCCCAGCTGTCCTGCACGTGTCCTACTCCGGGTGCCCGGTCCAGGGGGTGTGTGCGCAGCAATCAAGCCGCGTCCCTCTTGGTTGCAGCGCTCTTCCTCAGTTCTCCCCTTTTTTACATTATTAAGAGCATTCGCTTGTATTCCATGGGAGTCCTCAGGACCATCAGGTAGGGGGTGTGACGGCTCGATCTTCCGTACCCTACCGCTCTCCGATCTTCCCTCCTCCTCTATAACGGTGTGCGAGGGTTCTTCGTCAACCACCCCCCGTGGTTTATCCTTGTTAGAGCTAATCGCTCCGGCTGCATGAGGGGTTCTTCTCCTCCTTTCCGGATCAGCCGTGATGTTTCTTTTGATGTGTGGGCGGGCCGTTGCGTTTGGCGATTCATCCGCACTTCCACCTGCCGTATCTTCTCTCGTCTCCTCTTTGCTGCCAGGGGGCCGGATCCTGGTTCTTATCACCCCCCTAATCCTCTGGGATTGCAGTAGTCTCACGGGGGTGGTCGAAGTATCTCGCGATTGCTTTCCTTCCTCCAAATTGCACATGGTTTGTTGGATGGTTCGGGTGCTGCCCAAGTTGTTATTGGGCCATCGGGGGTGTTGCCGCTGGTTATTGGCACTCCATGATCTTAAGGCCAAATAGGACGGACATAGGTCAATATGCCTATTAATGGATTTGCTGTCCGAGAGCCATGCCTCTCTAAGAAGGCGGCCCCCTTTGGTACTATCATTTGCCAATACACTGACGCCACTAAAATTAAACCTGTGGCCCAGATCCACCGTGTGGGCCCATATTTGGGAGTGACAATCTCTCCTTCTCACTGCCAGTTCGTGCTCATGGACCCTGGTCTTAATGCGTTTAGCAGTCTCCCCAATATAATTGCATTGGCAGTCCATACAGTCAATCCTATAGACGGCTGCCGATCTTTCGATGCTGGGGAGCGGGTCCTTAGGGCGCATTATTGCCGCCCGCAGTGTTTGGTTGGGTCTATGGGCCACCTGTATTTTATATGGTGCCAGGATCCTAGCTGTGGCTTCTGATACATTGTGGATATAGGGGAGGGCAATGCGTGTGGTGGCTTGAGGCATGGATTCTTGGGATACGGGGTTACCCCGGAGTCCAGGTGGTTTCCTGAACTGATTAATAAGTTTAACCGGGTAGCCGTTACGTCTACATATTTGGAAGAGGCGGTTTCTCTCTTCCTTTTTAGCTCTGACGGTGCTGCAATGTGTCTCCACTCGTTTGAATAGCGTCCTGACACAACTGGCTTTATGGGCCATCGGGTGATTGCTCCCAAAGTGGAGAATCCTGTCAGTACATGTTGGTTTTCGGTATACCCTGGTAGCTAGACATCCATCCACCTGGCGCTGCACAAATACATCCAAAAATGCCAAATTGCCCTGATCTTCCTCCTCCATGGTGAATTGGATGTCTGGGTATACCGAATTCAGGACGCCCATAAAGTCAGTTTTGTGTCATTTCTTAATGACCGCAAACGTATCGTCCACATAGCGGGCCCAAAATTTTGGTCGATACTGGGCCATCGCTATGTGTTCTAGCTGTTGGAGTACCATCTCTGCAACCACACTGGAGATCGGCGACCCCATAGGTGTTCCTTTGATTTGCTCATATATAACACCCTGAAAGGTGAAATAGGTGTTAAGGCATATTTCCATCAGTTTTATCAGGTCCTCCGTTTGAAGGGAGTCCTGATGCTGCCCATGGTCTCCTTGATTAAGCCGGTCTCTTAGGACCGCAACCGCAAGTTCTTGCGGGATGGAAGTGAATAGAGAAATTACATCAAAGGAGACCATGAGCTCATCCTCTTCTACCTTCAGGGTTTTAATTCTGTTGAGGAATTCTTCTGCCGATCTTACGGTGGTGTCGCTGTTACTTGCCAAGTGGCCAATGCGTACGCTCAGCCACTTGGCAAGTTCAGAGATGGGGGTACCCCTAAATGCTACAATGGGGCGGAGGGGGACATTGGGCTTATGTATCTTAGGTAAGCCATAAAATCTGGCGAGTGCTGAGTCACCAGGGCGGATCTTTCTTAGCACTTCTTCCCCCATCCTCCCCTTACGTTTTAGGTCATCTAGGAGCTTGTTAGTACGGTTTCTCAACGTGGTGGAGAGATCTTTACTAACCACTCTATAGGCAGCACCGTCTTGGAGTAAATCCAATGCCTTTCTTATATATGCCTCTTTGTCTAAAACAACAGTTGCCCTCCCCTTATCGGCTGGGAGGATGACAATGGTGTCATCTTTTCTAAGTTGGCTTAGAGCCACCCTTTCCTCTGCCGATAACATTTGTTGGCGTCTGTGGCTCATGATTAGGCTCGTGACCTGTTGCCTGATTACATTCTTGGCTTCTTCTCCTGTCCCAGTGTGATGTAGAGCGGGCTCTAATGCTGCCACAAAATCCAGTGTGTCCGCATCATTAAGGTTGTGTCCTGTATCTCGTTGCAACACGGATAATTGCGGCTGGCTTAACACCCTTGAGGATAGATTGTGCACCACCCCCGGTAAATTATTGTTACGAGACTCACGTAATAAATTCAGCCTTTTCAGGAACGTTCTTGTCATATGCTGAGTCACCCGGGCCATGACTTGCCGGATATGTTGGTTGAGCATCCTAAAATGCTGGTGGTTTAGTTCTATACTGCAAGAGTCTCGATAGCTTTGGATGTACCTCTTTAGGTTGCCTATTCTTCTGTGTTGGTCATTAATTAACGCATATAATGTGCGTCGTTGGAATTGACGGACGGCTTGCCAGCATTCCAAGGAATCCACTGTTGGTTTTCTTCTTAACGAGTTCAGTGTTAAGTTCTCCTTGATGCAGCGATGAAGGAACGCCAGCTTACAATAGTTAGTTGAGACACGCCGTGCTATCCTTTCCCATTTTCTGGCTCTGAGCAAAGCTGCTCTACTATATATGCGATTAAAAAGGTTAAAAATATGAACCCTGGGAATATTCATAATGAAAATATAAAATGAGCACCAGGGTAGTAAAAACTATAAAAGTTTTTAATAAATTAAAACTATAAAAGTTTTAAAAAACGCCAAGCTTTCGCCGTCACCTGCCGGCATCCTCAGGGCTGGCGCGCCAGAGAATGAGAAGGTCTTTTATAGGCGTGTCGAGGTCTGCGCCCGGCTCCTCGATCTTGTTATCGGGCCTAATTGGTTCAGCCGTGTGCAATTAACCTGTGCTTCTTTTCTCTTTTTGGTTGCATTTTTATCCTCATCCGTCTCCAATTCTCCCAACTCCGGATTAGCTAGATGGCAATTGCAGTTATTTCGGTTGCCTTTATATTCTAACCTCCCCTTAGGCTCAGGTGGTAGTGCACATTCCACATTCCTTTCTCCACCATATCTTGTCCAGTTGTTACTTTTAGGATCGTATTCATTTCCGGTCTCAATACTTTCATTTTTAATGTGTCCGTCATCCTGATGATCTCGTAAGTTGCTACGGGTCCGGTGCAGCGTGGGGGGGTGTTCCGCAAGGTGGAGGGATCGTCTCTTATTAGTTGTCATGCCCAGCTGTCCTGCACGTGTCCTACTCCGGGTGCCCGGTCCAGGGGGTGTGTGCGCAGCAATCAAGCCGCGTCCCTCTTGGTTGCAGCGCTCTTCCTCAGTTCTCCCCTTTTTTACATTATTAAGAGCATTCGCTTGTATTCCATGGGAGTCCTCAG